AAAGCTGGCGTTTTGAGCGTTAGCCCTTCTTCGGAGTGAATAGAGGAATTGTGGGTTGTGTGTGCTTTTAAAGGCAGAAAATGGAGCTACGTTATTGGTGGGAACATGGCAGCGACAAAAACACGAATAAATTAATTTCTCGTTGCCATGTTCCCACCAATAACATAGCTCCATTTTCTGCCTTTAAAAGTACACACAACCCACAATTCCTCTATTTGCTCTGATGAATGGTTGACGCTCGAAACGTCAGCTTTTGTAATCGTTACGGTGGCCAATTTATCATTTCAACTTTGTTGATATGTCCAAACTGTTTTGAAAATGGGCTTTCCTGAAACATTTTCAATCTGCAGACTCATGACAACTTCGGCACGGTTTAAGTGTGTACCCACGGAGATGCCGAACGATTAGCTGAGACAAATGATGCCCTTTTGGGAGAAGGGAAGGATGCTTCTCGGGGAAACTGGGATGAGAGCGACGAAGGCGACCACCTACTCTGAGTACTCCTTCGGTGTACACAAACGGGTCTAAGCGGTAAAGGCTTGACTTCTTTAATAGGTTCTTTCTTTGTCGGGAACGATCTCAACCTTCGGTTCTCTCCGCTCCTTCGAGCAATTTTATTTCGTCTGCAAAACACTCATTCTGAACGGTCCTAATCATTATCATCTCAGCTTGCATCAACTCCGTTGCTGGAGGGGGACGTGGGAGTCGTTTGGGTGGTTTTTCTGATGGGACACGATGGTCTGTTCTGTTGGTCCGGTGCTTGGGTATGTGATCTGCGCTTGCTGCTTTACGCTCTTTCACCATGACAATTAAATTGGCCAGGGCTCATCGCAGAGACGTGAAACTGGAAAAACGACTGAATCTTTCAGCAACCAGTCCGGGTATTGTAACTACAACTGTGGTATAGGTAGTGACTTGACCTCTGACCTCTGGATCTTGTAGGTCTAAGGTGATTGTTTCAACAGTAGAAATGGGATTGGGCGAGGCTTCTCTCAGGAACTCTGGGCCATGTAGCCATCTTGAGTCTTTCAAGTGTTCTGCAGTTACTCCCTTGGTTGCGAGATCCACGGAATTCAAGGTGGTCCCAACATATCTCCATTGCGTTGGGTCAGAGATGCTTCTAATGATTTGAACGCGATTGGCAACATATGCATAAAAGCGCCTGCTGTCATTCTGTATATAACCAAGCGCAACCTTGGAGTCTGTGTAAAAAACAACTTCATGGATAGGTAGATTCAATTCTTCTAACAGCTTCTTCACTGACTGGGAGGACAAAACAGGGCTGCAAAGTTCAAGTCGAGGAATCGTTGTCGGTTGCAAGGGAGCCATCCTGGCTTGACCAAACAGGAATGCAACGTTAACGTTTCCTGACTCACTGACGTGGAGAAGGTAGGTGACGACTCCAATCCTGTCTTTACTTGCATCTGAGAATGAATGAATTTCCGAACGTACCACACAGCCGAAATCCTTGGGGTGATAACATCTAGGAACTGACACAATTTCTAAGTTGATGAGAGCGTCTCTCCAAGACTGCCACTGATGCATCAATTCGTTGGGTAATGGGTCGTCCCAGCCAGGAGGGGTGTCACTGCCTTTTTTCCCATGATCACTAGCTGACGAAGGAGAAGTTTCCTTGCAAGATAACTGGGGCAGCTAGGCCCAATGGGTCATAGACTGAGTTTATGGTGGCAAGGACTCCTCTACGCGTAAACGGTGGCTCAGGTAAGGTGATGTGGAATGTAAAGGAGTCGCTTTCTAAATCCCACGGAACTCCTAAGGAACGCTCAGTCGGGAGGCTGTTATGACTGAAGTCAAGGTTGCGAACACTTTTCCCTCTGTTGTCCAAGGGTATGGCTTCCATAACAGTTATGGAATTCGACACAACCTTGTGTAATCTGAGTTGGGCTGTCGCTAACATGGCTTGTGTGTTCTTCAGTAACTCTATCGTTTCTTGGTCTGTTGCGTGTGAAGTAAGGCCATCATCAACGCAGAAATCATTGCAAACGAACTCCCTTGCTGCAGCACCGAACTTCTCCTCACCGTCTTTGGCCGTCTTTCTCATGCTGAAAGTTGCTATCACTGGACTTGACACATTCCCGAAAAGATGTACAAGCATCGGGTACTCCACTACCTCCTTCAAAGGGTCATTGTCTTTGAACCATAGGAATCTCAGATAATCCCTATGTTCGGGGTTGACATAGAATGAGGGAAACATTTGTTCCACGTCGCAGAGCAGGGCGACATTCTCCTGACGGAAACGGACGAGCACACCGAGCAGGCTGTCCATTTGGTCTGGATCTGACAAGAGTTCAAGAGTTCCTTATTTAGAGACACTCCGTGAAATTCTGCTGAAGAATCAAAAACCACGGGGACCTGATTGGGCTTTCTCAGGTGGTACACGGCGAAATGTGGTCGGTACCAGACTTGCCGGCTTCCATTGGCAGTTTTCAGCTCGTCAGGTGGTACCTGGGCGGCATGCCCGGGTTCAAGAATCTTTCCCATAAAGACGAAGTAGTCTCTCTCCAACTGTGCATTTCTCTTGAATGAATGCAACAAGCCATATAAATGACTCACAGCTTGGCTCCGGTTGTTAGGTATGACGACGTTGCTTTTATGAAAAGGTAGGGGCATTTCCCAGTTGCCTTGACTGCTCTTGTGGGCCGTGCAACTCATGATTTCTAGGAATTTGTGGTCCTCTTGAGACAGACTGACTTCGTTGTTGTGTGGGGTTGTACGGTAAACGTCTGAGGCGATCTGTTCCCCTCCACCATACTCTTCTTTGATCACAAACTAATTGGGGCAGGGTGTTGTCATGTAACGTTGGGGGCTTTCTCGTTTTACTGCAAGGTCACGATTTTCTTGGTCGAGGCGTGGTCAATTTGGTTCTGGGATGTTAAGTGCTGTTCGGTGAGCTGAGACATGAACAGGGCCTCCAACTCTGTCCGGGCATACTTGACCTGAGAGAGTCCACCCGAGGTTGAGTTTCTGGGCCCATGGGGCTTCCTTTGGACCATTTCTAAAGGCTCTAACTTTCAACAGCTCTGGTGCATCACAGCCAATAAGGATTTCAATGTTCGCGTTAGGATCCAAGGGTGGGATT